CCTAACCTCTTCTAGATGCGAGTCGAGTCAGTGAATTAAGGCGATGACTCAGTGGGTTGGTCAGGACTAGGATTAGGACTCGGAGGTTAAAGGACTCGACGAGTCGCGGGGTGACTCGGCGAGTCAAGTCGCGAATTATGGGGATTTCTGAGTTGTGAACTCGACGAGTCAATAGGCAGAATCGGCGAGTAGGGTCAACCTGGAAGGTTGACTTTGACCAGGACTTTGACTTTGACCAGAGTTGACTTAGTTTGACTTCTAGAGTTCAGTTTGGGACTAAGTGTTATATTGATATTAGTAGCTCGGGGAGCTAGAGGAGCAGCGGTTCGGGGAGGTTGTTAGTCAGCAGCCAGAAGTGTAGCAGTCAAGGGCATCAGCCATAACTTCAGCAATTTGAGGTGAGTTTCCCTTTTGTGTGAATGTGTCTACGACCACAAAATTTCTGGCCCATGTAGTTATGAGTAGGAAGACCCGGGGGTTAGCTCTAGGCATTGTTTGCCATTATGATATTCAGGACCAAGGTCCAATGTCGGGCGGGTGCCTAAGGAATGGTTTGCATGATAGAGTATACTTGTTGTCTGTGTGATACTTGTATGTGCCTGGTAGGGAGGTGGGCGTGGGCGAGGTCCCGTATCTCACTATTAGCAGAGTATGGATGGGGTTCCATATCTCATCAGTAGCTGAGCAGGGGCGAGGCCCAAGTTAGGAATGAAGTGAGTGTGGGTTGGGCCCGTATCTCACTATCAACAGGAGTGTGGACGGGGTTCCATAACTCATCAGTAGCAGGACAGGGGCGGGGCCCAAGACAGGCGAGGGCTTAGCATAGGAATGGGGTAGAGTAGTTATGGCTTATGTGTTATGCGATATGTTATATGTTTGTATATGATTATCGGGCGGGGCCCAGAGACAGGCGGGGCCTAAAAGAAACAGATATGTATCCGAGCGGGGCTCGAAGCCAGGCGGGGCCTGAAGCGGCGGGGCCGTTGTAGCGGGCGAGGCCCGAGGTAGTGTGTGAGGCCCGAAGTAGTGGGCGTGGCCCAGTATTTGCAGTATGTGATTATGCAGGGTATGTGGTAGGTTGGGGAACTCACTAAGCTTCGTGCTTACAGTTTTTAGTTTTGGTTTCAGGTACTTCCGGTAGCGGAGGGAAGAGCGCGGGATGATCGCATGACACACACCATAATTAGTCAGCCTGGGATGTTTTACTCTGATAATAAGAACATGTTTTGAATTGATACTCTGAACTTATGTTATGACTTATAATATGGTTTTATAAATATGGTTTTAGTAATGTTTAAAGGAAAATTTTTGTCGTGATTTTTGGGTCGTTACATTTTCTTATTAATGCATCATACTTCGGAAAATCTCACTCAGTTATAACATTATACTTCAATTTTTTTTTATGATTAAGGCATCATACTTGGATGGATTTATCAAATTACAATGCCTTGATAAGAATAAATTGAAAGTGTGTTGTTATCCTACCCCATGATTTACATGTTTTTAAGTAATATTTTTGCTACATTTTTCTGAGTCTAATGATTTCATTTGTTTGTATTAGGCACATGAGAATCCTTGATCTTGGTGTTATTAATTTTACGTTTTGTTGTCTGGTGCTCGATACCCCAAAGTAACTGTCTGAATGAGAAAAAAAGGTTTCTTTGAAATTTGCTCGAAGTAGTGCATGCTTGTTAGCAGTTGCTACTAAGTCTCCCTGAAAAATTGTCAATTGGTTGATGTCTATTAATTAGAATTAAAACTCATTTGTCTTATTTGTGTTTTAACCCAAAATTGACAATAATACCCTTATTGCTAAACTATTTGTTTTTAACAAAATGGTGGATTAATGATGGAGAATTCTAATTATAAGAGTGTACTTTATTTTTCTCTCCTTGTAATTATATTATTCCTTGTTCTTTGTTGGCATTTTAATTTAATATAATTTAGTTTCTATTCAAATTCTATGAATTTATAATATTTTATTTCATCAATGATCAATTAAACCATCACTATATTTACTTTGACTATTTTTGCAAAAGATGTTTAGAGTTCAACTATTAAATATTGAGTATCAGTGGCAAAAAATTATTATGGTCACATGTTTTCTTTTTGTGTTACATAACAAAATATTCACTTTTCGACACCCTATAGAGTAGAACATGACGGTATAATAATACTTATACGCAAAAGTTTTAATTTCTTTTATCATGAAAAATTCTTCATTTTCGACACACATAAGAATTAAACCGTAACCATGAAATACTAATAGTCATATGTTCTTTTTTCACAACAACTGTTTACTTTTAGTCGCACGTAAAAATTAAACTGTAATCATACAACACTTGTAGTTCAAGTTTCTTTTTTCATTAAACTGTAACCATATAATACTTATAGTCATTGTTTTTTTTCCCTTAAAACATGACCATACAATACTAAAAGTCACATGTTTTTTTTATGATTATTAATATTTTTTACTTGTAATCACACGTATGAAATGAATAAATGTCCACAAAATACTAACAGTCATACATATTTTTTTCTTGTATCATGACTATTGTTAACTATTAAACAAGCTTAAGAGATTAAATCATGACTATGTGTTCTAAAACTGGCAATAAAAATACTCATAGTCATATGTTTTATATTTAACAATAGATTTTTTTTTGTTTTTTTCTTTTGCTTTTACACACCTATTAATTTAATCGGTGACCATTAAATACTTACAATCAATTTTTTTCCTTTAATGATGACTATATTTTACTTTTATACATACACCAAATTGTAAAAAGTAACAATAAATTACTTATAGTTACAAGTATTTTCTTTTTTCACGAACATGATTTACCTTTTAGCCACACATAACATGTTTTAGTGTGACTATAACATACTTATAGTTATACAATTTTTTTCTTTTATCATGACAAATGTTCATTTTTAGACACACATAATACACTAAACATTACCATAAAATACTAATAGTTACTTGTTTGGTTGCTCTTAATCAGTGTGTAATAAATTTTACCGTATGGACACACAAATAATTAATGTGACCATATATTGCCTTTTAGTTACTTTGCATTCAAATGTCAATATCTGCTCCATGATACAGCCACATACACAATTGTTTCATGTGACCATATACTAATCTATTGTCTCTTATAAAAACCATCACAAAGTTTTTCCATATATCTGACAAACATGTGGCGGATGGTGACATTTGGCCTCATTTTTCCGGTGTGGCTAAAAATTGTCACATTTGTTATGTTTAAACGTGTCTAAATGTTTCAACTATATTACTAATGGTCATAAAATACAACTTAAAATGTCACTAAAACAATGGCAGATTTTTAACAATAACCTTTAGACACAGTTTAAGTCAAAAGTGTGGCCGAGCGGTTTTGGCAAAAGTGTGACCATAGGTCATTTTTGTACTAGTGTCTTAAGACATCATACTTGGGTGGTTTTTTCTTATTAAGGCATCATACATGGGTGTAGAAGGAGAATGAATGTATGTTGGTATTTCTCGTATTTAGACTTGTATTATTTTGTTTATGTTTTGTGAATTTTAAAGATATTGTAAAGACATTGTTCAATTGTATTCAATTTGGCTACAACCATTCATCCATAACACTTATGCTGCTGAACTGAGCGAGATATACCATGTTTGTTTGTTTTCACCCGACTCTAAGTATTTAACAGCAAATGCTGCCAACTAAATCAATTAAACAAGTATTTAACAATTGTTGGAGTCCTTTGACAATGGTATCTGGTGTGAATTTGCCTATAGGGGATTTATTATCTTTCCAAATCTTCTTCTAGAAAACCATAAGAACTTAATGCCACCCATACTTTAAGGCTTACCAAAAATGAATTCCATTCCAACAAGCATGAAATTTGCATAGGGAAGAGGATGGGGGAGGGAATGCTTGGGTTAGTAAATGGAAGGAGCTTTGGATTGGACATAAATTGTTTTTGTTTATTAACAAATAAGAGTCTGAGAAACAAAAACTTAGTCCTAACTATCACCGCCTAATGACACTTGGTGCTGTTTGTTTTTTCAAAGCCAAAAGGTTTGCAGTCTGCGGACCACATCTGCAGTAAAAGAGGTGGACCAAACGTTTGCAGTCTGCAAGAAAAAGATTGTTTGTTTTTTTAAAATCTGCGAGCTGCTAAAATAAACTAGAACCTATGTTTTTGATAAGTTTTATAACAAATTTGATTCTTTTAGTTATTGTTATAAAAAATCGTTAGATAAATAGCATAATTTTTTTTTTCAAATATGAATACCAAAAAAATTGTGAACAAATAACAAGTTTATTAAAATAATTAAACTAACATAATTAAACGTAGATTAAAAAAATATATATTTTATTTGAAAACTTATTTCTAAAATAAAGTTATTGCAGAAGTTTACATCACAAATGAATTAAAAAATGGATATTGCAGCATATGATAATATGATTCATCGAAATGATAGTTTTTCATTTATTTTTTGTTCTTTTTGTCCACAAATGAGAATGGCCCCGACGTTTGTTGTTTTTTTTTCCTATCTTTAAAATTAGTTAGAATGGCTTTTGAAGGTTAGAAGACATAGTTCCATATATGCGTCAAGAAGATGATGCACAGACCTTTTTAAAAACAAACAGTTTGCAAGACCAAACATCTACGCGCTGTCTGCGTGACGCAGACAAAAGAGGTCTAGAAAAGCTTTTGTAAAAAAACAAACACCACCTTAGCCTATCAGATTTTAGTTGCAGGGGGTCTCATTATGTTAGACCAAACAAAATCATCAATGGGTTAGTAAAATATCCCAGTTTGAAGACATCAACGTACAAAATATTGTAATGATTTGTATTTCTGACTTCATTGATGTTACTACTGCTCACATAAATTGTCTTTTAGTCTTTTATAGTTCCATCCAACAGAAACAGACGTTGTCTATATAGGCAATTATGTTGGAGTTATCTATCTCTATAATGGATCTTTTGAAAAGACAATGTACTCCATATATATCTTACTCCATGTATTGGGAATATTCTTATAGAAAGTAAATAACGCACTTAATTACAAATGAACACAAAATAACGTGTAATCATATGAGATGATTACAATAATCATAAACCAAAATGAAAGAACTATATTTGTTGTTTAGCACAAAACGACGATCGTCCCCACCAGCTACGTACAACATGTACAAGTCCTCATCTTCTCATCTTTTACATTTTAAGTTCCTGTAATAAAACACAAAAAATATCACATCCCAAAAGAATTTATTTGTTTGAAATTTTATTTAAGGCTAAGTTAAAATTTAACACCGTATCATATTTTTCAATTTTGCCTTTATGAATTAAGCAGAGAGGCAGAGGATGGAAACAAAGGAAACACTTTTTCTTATGAAAAAGGCAGACATGCACTAACATTGGATTGTTGTATAATTTTATTTTTTTTACTAGCAAAATATATCTGGCCCTTTTTCACAAGCTCCATGATAGTTTTAGACTTCTATAGATGTTTTGTAATCATCACACACTCATCTAATGTTGATCCTTTTTAACTATGAACTTTGAATGCTACAAAAGGAACAAAACTGTTGAAACTTGAAAGTCAAATTAGACTCATGGGTAAGTTCTCAATAGTTATCGTATTGGAATTGTAAAAAAAAAAATGTGTATACCCTCCTACCGGTTACCATACTGAATAATTCATGCATGTTTACATTCTTGCTTTTTTTTAAATGGACTTCTTCAACATAGTTAAATAAAAGCACTTACTTGAAAATAAATTGCATGCTCCATCTTGTTGATGATTGTGTACATCGTAGGGCGTTCACTAGAAATGAAGCTTATGCACTTATAGGCAATTTCTTTGAACGTATGGAAACTACGAATATCAATTTGATCTTTAATATCTGGATCAATTAATCTCTCAGGTCCATTTTCATAGTATTGTCGGACCAGATTTATCAAATGTTGTGGGTTACCATCTACAAACTCTATTTGGTGATAAGCTGGCCTCCCACTCAACATTTCAAACATCACAACCCCGAATGAGTATACATCAGATTCTCTACGGAGAATGCCACTTCCATAATAAATGGGATCCATATAAAAGTTAGTACCAGCAACTTTTGTAAAAAGTTTACTAGTTTCCTGATTTCCAAGGCCATTTGTTGACAAACCAAAATCACAGATTTTAGCTTCCAGATTTTCGTCTAACAAAATGTTCCCACTCTTGATGTCCCTGTGTATTACTCTGTCATGTTTCCCTAGACCCGAGTGAAGGTAGTGGAGTCCTTTTGCTGCTCCTAAGCAAATCTTGAGGCGTTGTACCCATTTTAGAGAACGCCTCATAATCGGATCTACAAGATGATAATCAAGACTACGATTGACCGCATATTGGTAAACTATAATCATCTCATCTTGTTCATCACAGTAGCCACCGAAAGAGATGATGTTGGGATGGTGGAATTTTGAAATAAGATTAAGCTCGGTATGGAACTCCTTCTTCCCTTGGTGGCCTTGTCGATTAAGGCGCTTGATGGCAACTGTGCAATTTAGCCAGCTTAGAGATAGTTGTCCTTTGTAAACCACTCCAAATCCACCTTCTCCGATCGCAGTTTGAGGGTTGAAATTTTGGGTTGCCAAGTTGATATCCTTTAGTGGAATTAAATAACTTTCTAGGGTTCGTGTGTTGATGCTATTATGAGGTGTTACGTGGTTCTGTGAATATAAACAAAACTAAATTAGCTTACAGATGTGGTGCCATTTTTAACCTTTACCGAACAATTGACAACAAGAGTCCTACAACACAAGAATCCCACTACCTCACATAATTTGCTTCATAATATATATATATATATATATATATATATATATATATATATATATATATATATATATATATATATATATATACTAGTTGCGAGAGACCAATGTATTACATGGATTAATTTAAAAAAAAATAAAAATAAATATAAAGGTCAAAATATTTGAAAACATGAAATTTATAAGAAACAGGAAAAATAATGAATTATTATAATGAAATCGTTTTTTAACTTTTAAATTTAAACAAATAATTTAAATAAATAAGAAAAATTAACAAGCTTTAATTTTGAAAATTTTGAAACTAAAAGGTAAGTTCATTAATTAAATTGATATTCATTTATTGTTATATTTATTTTAATTATTACATTAAAATAATATGTGGAATTTAATAAAATAGAAAAAACTTATGAAATGACATGTGAAAAAAGAATTAATTCAAAGTAACTACAAAAATGACATTCGGCAAATTGAATAAGAGTATGTCAAATAGCAAAAAAAAAAACATTCATTTATTAGAGAAAAAGATATATATATATATATATATATATATATATATATATATATATATATATATATATATATATATAGTCTTTATCTACGTATTAGCATTTTATATTTAATTTTATAGATTAGTTACTAAGATAGTTCATAACTTAGAATTATTTATTCACCATTATAAATTTATAATTGTTTTATAATATGTATTAAAAAGTAAAAACAAATTAATAAAATGCCAATTAACCTTTGGTCATTTTTCTCATCTTTATTTATGCCTAAAGTTATATGTACCTATCTTTACAACTTTAGTATGGCTTTTCAAGACAATACATCGTGAAAGATTGAAAAGAAAAAAAAACTTACTTGAAAATTCTGTGCTTCTTCAATCCTCTTGATGATTGTCTTCATTGTTGGGCGATCGTTTAAGTTCATACTAATGCAACTATACGCGATTTTCGTAAATGCATTGAAAGAATGAATATTAATGTCATCTCTTATATAGGGATCAATGAGCTTGGTCAGGCCATCGTCATAGTAGATTTTGACCAGATTTAGGAGTATACCTTCCTGATTATCATCAATGCGCCTTTTAAAATAAGCTGGCAACCCGCTCACCATTTCAAAAAGAACAAGCCCGAATGAGTAGACGTCTGCTTCTGTGTTCGCGATGCCACTTTCTTTGTAAACGGGGTCCTCGTAATAAGGGTTAATGACACTGGTTACATAAGCTTGTGGCTGATTTCGCTCCACTAACATCGAGTAATAAAAATTACTAATTTTTGCTTCCAGATTGTCATCTAACAGTATATATAGGCTCCTCATGTTTCTATGAATTACTATGCCGTCGTTGCCAAGACCTGAGTGAAGATACTCAAGTCCTCTTGCGGCCCCTATGCAAATCTTGAGGCGATCCGCCCATGTTAGTAAACGCCTTTTATCGGGGTCTTCGAGATGGTCATCAAGGCCTCCATTCACAGCGTATTCGGATACGGTAATCCTCTTATTGCCTTCATGACAGTAGCCAATGAAAGGAATGATATTTTGATGGTGGAATCTAGAAATAATCTTGAGCTGGTTACGGAAGTGGCGATCTCTTAGGTAAGAATACGGAACAACGAGATCAATGGCAACGGTGTGGTTTTGTAGTTGTCCTTTGTAGACATCAACAACTCCATCATTACTGATCCAACTTTCTTTACTAAAGTTTTGGGTGGCCGAGAGGATCTCCTCCAGTGGAATTACAAACTTTTCTAGGTGAACCCCTGATTCTGAAGAAGACATTGTTTTATATTAAATTAATTGGTGGCTTTGTGTGTGCATGGTTTTGTGAACATAAACAAAACTTTGTTTGCTTAGAGATGATTAGATCCACACTTCAATTTATATTGTTCTTGGCTTAAAAAAATATCATAAAGAGTTGACTGGAACCAAGTCCGGTATAAATAATAAATCCCACATGTTAATCCGAATGTTATGATATGTTACAATGCCTGTCACCACCTAACCCTTTGGATAAGCAATTGTGTAATTGTTATTTCTTTAATGATGTAATTATTGGTTATAAACTTGTTTATTCGCATTACCAAACATGTGAGGCAAGTCATACCAATAGGTGTAGTAAGCTTTGAGTCTAGTTGGTCACCTTTCGCTTTTATAGTCAAATACAATTTGATAAACAGGAAACCACAAGTTAGCTCTCAACTCCTCTATTTACTCTTCTAGTCCTTTGAATATTTCATTGGAATCGAACAGATGTATTTTATAGCATCCAATTTTGGTCTAATACAATTTTCTTCTAAAGGAAAATAGACAAATACATAGACTAATCTTTTTTTTTTCTTAGAAACAACAAATATCATTAAAAAGAGAGAGGCACTCTCATAACAAGAAGCTACAATGAGACCAAGTCCATAACAGAAGAAAATGGAAACAAAAAATAACAAATACAGGGAACAAAAAAATTAAAATAAACGATGGATGAAAGGCGATACGCTCCACTCAACACAGATTTCCACAACCTGAGCCACTTTGTGCTGTGCTTGGACCATATGTATGGAAGCGAAATTATGTTGTCAACAATTTTTTTAGGATTCACACCAATTCGTTTGAAGATCTTATCGTTCCTGGATAGCCGAATGCTCCAAATAAGGTAGTAAAGCACCATGATAAAGATCACCTTTTTCCTAAGACAATTTCCCCCTACAACCATGCAGCCACGAAGTCTATGAATTCTCTAATGTTTGTGAACATTCTATTTTCAATACCACACCATTTGAATATCCAGTGGTGCATAATCACGGGTAATGAGGAGATGATCAACCGATTCTGTCTCTTTATTACACATAGAACACGAAGAACTGGGGAATTAATTCCCCTTGTCGCCAAGGTTTCCGCCACCGAAATTCCTAACACATCCCTCCATATGAAACAACGCAGCTTCGGAGGGATTATCTTTGACCACCAGATTGACATCCCTTTGTATGTAATCAGTTTAGACTCCAGTAGTTTCCCCATAGTGTTCACAGTATATTCACCACTGGGATTGAGAGTGAATCTGAACCCAAAATTAGATTTTTTATTAGTATTCAAATTACAAATATCCATGAATAGATGCAATAATTCATTTAATTTATCAAGAGTTGGCTCGAATCTCCACATCCATGAAAAACTATTACTAGAGAGTCTATCCCCTAATAAAGAACTCTTAACTATTTCTAGTAAATATAAATGGGGAAATTTTAGATGGAAATGAGTATTACTGCACCAGGAATCTTTCCAGAATAAAATGTTGAAATCCGATCCATGAGTAAGGGTAAAAATGTCCTTACAGTCAATGTGAAGCTTTTCGATAGACCTAACTTCCTTAGAATTATTGCACCACACCCCGTTTGATGATTTTCTCATGATGTATGATGCCGGTTTGTTGTGTAAGTTATGAATGCTCAGAATGACATCTTTCCATAAACTTCCCTTTTCGTTCATGTGCCTCCACCGCTATTTGATTAATAGAGAAGTGTTTTGAGTGAGTAGAGAGTCAACAAGTAATCCCCCTTCAACCCACTGGATTTTATTTGTAAGCTCACAACTCCCTCCCCCCCCCCCCAAAAAAAAAACGCAGTCTGATCTTGTCAAGTTCGTTTATGATACCTTGTGGAGCTCAAAAGAGGGACATGTAAAACATAGGAACAAATTTAGTGAGGGTGAGGCGGCCCCCAAACATCAAATAGATGGCCTTCCAACTTGATAATTCGGAGGAAAGTTCGTCAAGAATTGGCTTTAAGTTCTTCTTCAGCGCTATGATAGAACCCAATGGGACCCAGCACCTGAACAGTATCAGACAAAGTTGCTTTTGTTAGTCCCACACCGGATAAATGCAATTTGAAGAAATTAACCTTTAGCCCTAAAGAAATATGGAAACATTTCAGGATGTGGGACAAGTTTTTTATGTTGTTGCAGTCCCATTCCCCAATGAATATTGCATCGTCGGCGTAGAAAAGATGTGAAACGAAAGGACCATCTCTTGGTAATTTGACCCCATGAATTGGGGATTTTTCCCAGACACTCTTAACAACGATATTTAGTCCTTCCAGGGCCAAGATGAAGATAAATGGTGATAGTGGATTCCCATGTCGAACCCCTCTGGATAGTGGAAATTCTTTGGTTGGTACACCATTTACCAAAACTAATGTGTTTGTTGAGGATAAACAACATAATATCCATTTCCTCTATTTCCACCCAAATTTCATTTGATCCATGATAGAGTCCAAATACTCCTAGTTTATTGAATTGAAAGCTTTTTCGAAATCAACATGAAATATGTTTTTTTTCTTTTGTTGCATTGCTCATGATACTAATTGATTCATTACTTGTGGCCCGTCGAGTACGTATCTTCCTTGAATGTATGTCGTCTCAACATCATCCACCACCGACCCAATTACCTATTTCAATCTGATTGCAAGTAACTTGGGATGTGAGCGATATTTAAAGAATTACTGGATGAGACACTTGTGGGATGTGAGCGATATTTGAAGAGTTACAACCTCGTGCAAGAGATCACATGGATTTAAAATATTTGACAAAACGAATTATTGTGAAAAATTATAGGAACGATAGATTCTAAAATGAAAATGTCATATGAAGATTTGATAGATTTGGATGAACACAAAGAGGTAAATAAGATATGTTTTCGTTAATGGATAAAAAGAACAATTCGTTACAATGTGATTGTGCAGAACTATTATGTGTGCAAAAACTATTCATTCTTCTAACTAAGGGCCCTGTATATAGGCGTTAGAGGAGCACTAGAAAGGAATCCTAAGTCGATAGTTCAGAACTGCAAACCTAAGATATTCTGAAATCAGAATAACAACTACATATTTTGGAATTAAGAAAAGTCACTAAACATTACAACCAAGCTCCGAACAATGCATATAACTAGACATATTATATTTCCGAAACCTAACAATCCCCCCTTTTGTGTCAAGTCGTTGTTGTGGTCTTTTCTTACTTTTTCTCTTCAACTTCAAACACCTTATGAATAATTTTTGCTAAAGTCATTCGAATAACTATCCACCAGTTGAGCATATCAGAAACACACTTTAAATCTCTTTCATTGTTTGACTTGTTCGCTTCTACTCTTATAAGGATTTGATTCAAAGTTGTAGTAGAGTAAATATGCTTATCTCTTAAGAACAACGTACACTACTTCATAGTCTCATTTTCTTTCATCTTGTAGGCCACTCCCCAAAGATCTTTTTCAATAAAACCAAACTTGAATTTTTCCACATTCTTAGGAGGTGGAAATGTGTGACATCCCCAAATTCATAGTCATTTTAAAAATTTTATTGATACTTATTTGAAAATCAGAGTATTCATTTTAAAGAATAATATTGCGAAATTTGTTCCCAGAAAACATGATAAATATATTATCAAAACATTTCTGAAGAAATGTATTTTGTTTATATTAAAACTTTGGGATATCATCGTCAATACAGAAACATAAGCATAAAAAGACCTTACATTCATTTACACTAGTGATTTTACGTCTCCTTTAATCTCTCAGTGTAATGTAGCTTCGTATCGACACATGTGATACAAATAAACTGAGTGGGTCAGGTTGGAAAACCTGGTGAGTACATAGGGATTTCAATCCTATAATGTTATACCATATATATATATATATATTTTAGAACTCACAATATATACAATTTTACCTCATATAAGCAATTTTACCCCACCCCATCAATCCTCATGACGACACGATCTATACTCTCAGATCTAATATTTAACCTCTTTACCTAATCCATACTCCCGGATCGGGTATATCTAATCTATGCTCTCAGATCAATAACTATGCCCCTTCCATATTCTCGTGTTAAGGACAATTGACTATGTCTAATCCATGCTCTCAGCTTAATGACAAATAACTTTGTCCTCTCCATACTCTCGGACTAAGGACGAATGACTAAGTCAAATCCATGCTCTCGGATCAATGACAAGTTTTAAAGTTCTACTCTCCGTGTATATCTCACTCGTACTCACAAGGAGATATTACCAAATATTCCTCTTAATTAATTTAGGTTTACTCTGTATCCTAAATCATCATATTTTATCATATATGCTCTTAACACGTATTTTAGGCAATATCAAATATTTCACACACAAACATATATTTATTACTTTAATCAATACTTGTATTAAAATCATGTTCATGAAAGGGACTATGCACTCACTTGTTAAAGTGATGATTCCAAACTCGGGCAGCGCTTCGCTTCTAACAATTCTATTTTCCTTCGCTTCTAAAATCATTACCACTAGATTTTAGTCTAATATTTATAGTGACTATTTACGAGTGACATTGTTTTATAAGTGTTAAATAATACTTTTCAACCACTATGTACAGACAGGGGCCAAACATGAAATACCGGAGGGCATGACCATTTTGGCCTTATAGCACTTCTAAAATCCAACAACCCTATGCGACCCTTCAAATCAGATTCCCCGTACCACAAGTAGTTAAAAGATATTATAATATCACTTTATATTTTATAATACTTAGCACATATATTGTTTATAGGTTCATAAATAACGACTTATGACTAGAAATATAAGTTAAATTGAAAGCAAAATAATGTAGCTTAACTAACCGGGTTTTTAACGAAAACCGAGAAATGACGCAGACAGAATTCCGACTCTAAAAACTTCTTTCATTGCCTTTTTGACGATTCAGTTTTCTCTATCGCACCCTAAAACTAGGAGAAACTGAACAAGAAAGAAAGAAGGATTCTAGAGAGAGTTTAGAGGAATGGTGTAAAAAAATATGAAGAATTCATCATTTATTTACAGGGGTTTGATCATAGAGTAGGCCCTAAGTTTCATCC